GGAGGGAGGGAGGGAGGGAGGGAGGGAGGGAGGGAAGGAAGGAAGGAAGGAAGGAAGGAAGGAAGGAAGGAAGGAAGGAAGGAAGGAAGGAGAAAGGTGGATGGCTTCTATCAGGATGCCTCCAATCTGTGCCCTACTCCACCCCACAGACACTGCCTTGGGCTGCCTGAGGATCCTCCCAACATGACACAAGGCCTCCCTTCAAGTGAGCAATCCTAATGAGAGAGCAAAGAGGAAGGCACAGAGCCTCTTACAGTCTAACTGTAAACCATCACATCGGCCAAAGTCCAGCACATACATACTCAGGGGAGAGAAAACCAAGCCCCTTCTTTTAAAGAGGGAAACCTAAGTCTGGACACATCATTAACCTGCTGGAAGCCCTCAATCCAAGGCACCTTCACTCTTCAGATGCAGGTCCCTGGAGCCAGCCTGACCACCTCTGCCCAGTCTCTTAAGAAAGCAAGCTGGTCTGCATCCTAACATGCATAGTCCAATCACCCCTGTCTCCATTGCTGCCTCCGTGGGAGAGCATGCTGCTCTCTGTCCCAGACCTGTGGACCACCCTCCAGCTGCTGCTTGCGCCCTTTAGTCGCTCTTCACACGGAAAGCACCAGAAACAGGCTTCATTTTGTACGGTATTGTCTTTAAAAACAAGGCCTCACGTAGACTAGGCCAGCTTCAGACTAGGCTGGCTTCAGACTTGCTGTGCAGCTGAGGCTGACCCTGAACTTCTAACCCTCTGTCTAGCTCCAGAGAGCTGGACCGCTGTGCCCAGTTGATGCCGTGCCGGGGACCACACCTAGAGTGTAGGGCACACTAGCTCCATTCCCGTAGCCCTCCCCCGTTAGCCTTATAAAACCTAGCTCGTGCAGGGCCCACCCATTAATCCCAGCACTTGAACTCAGGAGGCAGAGGCAGGCAAAGGGATCTCTCAGTTCCAAGACAGTTGGGGATACACAGGAAGACCCTGTCTCAAAAATATACAAGTAACTCGACCTAAGTCAGTCACGTCACTGTACTCAGCTAGCCCACTCTCCCCTCAAATCCCCTACACTGCTCCTCTTCCACAGCGCCCCTCCCTGGACAGGCTGCATAATTCCCTGATCGGTATCTCTGCTGCTCACTGTCTGCATCTGCTTACGAAACCCAACAGCCAAAGGCATCCTGATGGGTTTGGGTCGGGGTCTTTTTTCATGTTTCCTGTGCGCTGAGCTACACAGTGAGACCTCACCTCAAAAATTCAAAAGGAGGAGGGCTGGGGAGGATGAAACCAACGTGCTTTTCCAGTTAACAGTCATGACACATGGTGAACACTCTTCCGCGTCATGTTTAACAGCTAGGCAGTAGATGAGTGCATGGCTAAATCGTATCTGAACCCACGGCCTTTCACTGGACACTCGGACAGGAACTACCCTGACCTACTACAGATGCTGCAACTAAAGTCCTCTGGCAGACATTTGTGTGTGTGTGTGACACATGACTGTGGAGCACATGCACCAGAGCACGTGTGTGCTTTGCATGCGTCCGTGCACATGTATGTTTGTGTGTGTGCGCGGATGTGTGCATGTGTGTGTGCGCATGCACATGTGTGTGTGTGCGCGCGCTAGCATGCGTGTGTGTGTGTGCATGCGTGTTAGTTACAGGACGACTCTGAGGAGCCTATGCTCACTCCCACCTGGCTGGAGGCAGGAACCCTCTGGTTTCTGCTACTGTGGTATGCACTATGCAGCTGCCACTGGAGCAAATGAGTAATTCTCCTGCCTCAGGGTCCGGGGATAACAGACAGCCATGCTCCACTTCGGTACATGGGTTCTGGGGTGTCCAAATTCGGGCATCAAGCTTGCATGGGAAGTGCTCTTCCGCACTGAACCATCCTCTCAGTCTGATGTAAAATATCAGCACAGGATTTACTTCGTTGAGAAATAGCCTAGACATAGAATTGCTGAGTGAAAAGATGTACTTTTCTGGGGTGAAGAGGTGAGTCGGGATCTCCCCCTGTGGACCACACAGGCCTGGAATTCACTGTGGAGCACAGGTTAGCAGTCCTCAGCCCAGGAACGCTATGGAGGTTTCAGTGATAACCTGCTATCCCTCTCCTGCCGATCTCCTCACACCTCGCTAACATGAGTTAGGGATGAACTGGAAAGTCATATGAACTTGGGTTTGCAGTAACAGGGTCCTACCTTTAATGAGCTAAATTGCAAGACAAAAGGACTTGCCTGGCTGAACTCCTGGGGGAGATCACGTGGACAATGGGAGCAAAGAATACAGCACCCTGCTTGAGGCTCTCAATCAAAGTTACTTTCCACTTAAAGTTTCTATCTTTATTGTAACTTTAAAGAAAACAACTACGAAGTGTTGGCATGTTATTACAGGAATGCCAGCCTATAAATTAAACTACGTTTTCATTTAACCTCTTTCCCTGCGGTTAACATCCTGCATGGAATTAGAAATATTCGTAAACGCAGTGTGCAGCTGGGAAGACATTACTTTATCCTGATCCTGGTTTCTGTTTTTCTTTCTGACAGCAGCAAACAGAAGCAAACCTTCCAAAACCGTGAAAACAGAACACGGAAAGGTCACCAGCCAGATGCTGCGTCTTGTGCCCCCTGACACCAACGTCCCCGTTGGAACAGTTGGGAAGCAAAGAGTTAAACGAGGCTTCACCTGCAGACACCCGGAGGTGAGATACAGGCTTAAAAAGAAAACAAAGGCAACTTCCTTACAACATCCTGGAAAAAACCAGTGACAGCGGCTCCCGCCTTCCTTTGACGTGGACAAACAGGGCGACTCCCCGCGCGGGCGCACAGTGCTACCAGCACAGGCCGGTGGACAGACAGACTGACACACACAGGAGACTTGGAGACACACCAACAGACAGACGCCAACACACATGAAGCAGCGCGCCCTGCAAGGCCGGGCCAGGCCTAGGGACCACTGTGAGGTGCTGGCCCTGGAGGAGCTCACCCCAGCCCGGCTCCCCTACCAGCCTCTGCCAGGGGTCTCTGCAAACCGCGCCCACACACCCCCACACCCCCGGTCACCCCGTCACCCGGCGCCCAGTGTGAGCAGGGACGCCCCTGCCAGACGCGCGAGCCACCGGGAGCCCGGACGCCGCCGCGAACGCAGAGGTCCGCACCCTGGACTGCGAACGCGAGGGACGCCCACGCCCCGGGTCCGGGTCGGGCCCCGTAAACACCCACCGAGCTCCTCGCATCCCG